CAAGCCTGTAATCCCAGCACTTTGGGAGGCCGAGACGGGCGGATCACGAGGTCAGGAGATCGAGACCATCCTGGCTAACACAGTGAAACCCCGTCTCTACCAAAAAAATACAGAAAACTAGCCGGGTGAGGTGGCGGGCGCCTGTAGTCCCAGCTACTTGGGGGGCTGAGGCAGGAGAAAGGCGTGAATCCGGGAGGCGGAGCTTGCAGTGAGCTGAGATCCGGCCACTGCACTCCAGCCTGGGCGACCGAGCAAGACTCCGTCTCAAAAAAAAAAACAAAAAACAAACAAACAAAAAACCCCTCTCATCTCAAGAGGGAACTACAGACAAGACTCAGTGACGCCCCCAGAACCCAGTCACCGAGGGACTCCTGGTCGGAACCTCCTTATGCCACCCCCATAGGCCAGTGGTCCTGGCCAAGAGACCCCTAGCAGCTCATGTAGCACGGCTGACACCGTGAGCGTGCCCACCATCCTCCATCCCTTCCAAAGTCCTTGAACTGGGAGTGGACGAGCTGGGACCCCCTGATCATCCCATAGAGGTCAAGGACTGCCCCACCCCAACTCTGCTACAGCTGTCATCCAGCTGTGGTGTCCTGCCATATCCACCCCTCTAGGAGCCCTCAGAGCCCTTCAAAAGGCCCCCTTCCCGCTGCTCCCCCTCTGCTGGTTCCCTCTGAGCCTCCCACAGGGACCACCAGACCCAGTGTGAATTCATTCATTCATTCATTCAGCTACTGTCGCTCATTCTCCTGCATTCATTCATTCATTCAGCCACTGCCACTCATTCACTCTCATTCATTCATTCAGCTACTGCCACTCATGCACTCATTCATTCACTCATTAATTCACTCAAAGTTACCGAGTACCTAACAAGGTGCCACATTCACTCATTCATTCACTCACAAATGATACCCACAAGATGCTTCATTCATTCATTCATCCATAGTTATCATGTGCCCACAGGTCCTGGGCTCTGCTGAGTACAGCATCCCCCTCGTCCAGGGCCCCCAACTCAGGGAAACCAGACATGAAACAATTTATCTCCCTCAGATGAGAAGTTAGGGGAGCCCCGGAATGAAGTGAGTGGGGCAGTGAGGGGAGGACCCAGAAACAAGTTTCAGTCAAGTTCTGTACACTGAGTGGAGCTGTCACTGAAGAATTTAGGGAGAAGACCGGGTGCGGTGGCTCATGCCTGTAATCCCAGCACTTTGGGAGGCCAAGGTGGGCAGATCATCTGAGGTGAGGAGGTCCAGACCAGCCTGGCCAACATGGTAAAACTCTGTCTCTACTAAAAACACAAAAATTAGCCAGGCATGGTGGCAGGCACCTGTAATCCCAGCTACTTGGGAGGCTGAGACAGAAGAATAGATTGAACCTGGGAGGCAGAGGTTGCAGTGATCCAAGATTGTGCCACTGCACTCCAGCCTGGGTGACAGAATGAGACTCTGTCTCAAAAAAAAAAAAAAAAAAAAAACAAACCTTAGGGAGAACGAATGTCACTCTTGAAGACCCCTGGGCACCCTTGGAGGGCTCACAGAAGCCCTGACCACCCCTAAATCTAAATGTGATGCCATCAGAGATCCCCTGACATGGCGACTCTGTCAAAAGTTCCGACCTCCCCCTCTAAGACCCCTAGGGAGCCCCCCTGGTCCCAGAAGTCCTTCACTCATCAGCATCACACCCTGAGACAAGCTGTCTCCTCCTTCCAGCCCCATCTGGGACCTGATGAGTCCCAACCTGTGGCTGAGAATTAAAGGACATGATGCCCATGAAACGCTTAGGCTGGAAGGCGCAAGACTCAGGTCTACCCTATAAGAGAATGCCAGGGCCTGCCGGGCGTGGTGGCTCACGCCTGTAATCCCAGCACTTTGGGAGCCTGAGGCAGAGGAATTGTTCGAACCAGGGAGGTGAAGGTTGCAGTGAGCCGAGATCGCGCCACTGCACTCCAGCCTGGGCGACAGAGCAAGATTCTGTCTCAAAAAAAAAAAAAAAAAGAGAATGCCAGGGCTTGTGGGTCCTTCTTATTCCCCTGCAAGACTACCCTCATAGTAGCTCCTGATCCACCTCACCTAGGACCTCTCTGGCAGTCCCAGGAAAAGCTTCAGGTGTCCCTAACCACTCAGCACCCCCTGACCACAGAAAGACCTCATCCCACCCCAAAACTTTCTCAAACTTTTGTACCGCCCTCAGATGCCCCGATCATGACTCATGATCACCTCTAACAATCTGCTACCCCGTTGGAAAGTCTCGTGGTCCCCTAGCTCCTTGGACCTGATAATGGCCATGTCTCACTCCACAATTTCCCCGAGCCTGGCGATCGCTAGGGACCGCCTCAGACGACCCCAGGGACTAGTTTGTCTCATGTCACGACCTCCCAACCCTGCTAGATTCCCTACCAACATCCATTTCACACAAGATCCCCCCTCTACGACTGCCCAAGACACCCCGATGACGACCACGTGCGTACCCGCGAGACTCCCAGCCCCGTTCGATTCAAAAAGACAGCCCCCAGTGACCCCACGACCTCCCTGCGGCCTCGGCCCTCCACCTCCGGGCCCGGTCGGCGCTCACCAGCGACGCTGGCAATACTGGTGGTGACGTAGGCTTTGCGGTGGCAATCGGTGCCATCGGGGATATCCCAGTACTGATGAAAAACCTTCGGCGCCATAGCCTGCTACCCTGATCCCACACCTCAGACCCCGCCGGCTCGGCAAGAGCAAGGGCAGACGCAGCTGGCTATCGCGAGACTTCTCGGGCGGCGCGCGCAACCTCTCGGGGTAGCGGGCCGGCAACAAGTGAGCAACTTTATTGACAGCCGCGGACATGGACACGGATCGCGCCACGCGCCAGGAACGGGCCTGGTGGAAGAGAGCAGCACGTGCACCTCCAGGCCGATTCCCAGAGGGTAAAACTGAGGACGACTGCGATCAGTGCAGACAGATTTCGCTAGTCCCAGCTCAGGGAATCCTAGGTTAGGGACGGTTTGACTACCAGAGGCGGGGACTAATCTACTAGGGGAGGGGCCAAGCTCAGACTGGGACGGGCGAGACTGCAGTTGATAGCAGCGAGACAAAACGAGACAATGGCTGTGGGGCGGGGCTTGGCGGGGATGTGGCCACACCCAGTGTCAGAATCTGTATTGCGAGTGGTTATGCCCTGTGGTCAGTCACCAAGCTGGAGTCTAAGCCGCGGGCTACTGTTTTGGGCCATGGACAGGATCAGGGGCGGGGATTATCGGGAAGATGACCAATGACAATACTAGACGGAAAAGTGACCAATGACAATACTAGAAGCTCCGCGGGACGTGGCCTCTGTCCAACCAGTGGCTATTCCACGCCCTAGGCCGGATGAAGTACCCAGGCGCTTGACTTGAGGGCGTGGCTAGAATTGGAGGGAGAACCTAAAAGGGACTTGACCAATCCGAGACTGTATAAAGGATAAAAGGGCGAGGCCGTGCCTGGATCTGCCCCTGACGGGCAACATGCTGTTTCGCGGAGTCCGGGCCAATCCTGGTGTTAGCTTCCAAGTAGGGCGGGGACAGTATCGAAGGTGTGACCAATCCCGTTTCCAGAGCCTGAGTTGCGCTAGCCGCCAAAGGATGTGGCCAGCCTGGGGGCGTGGCTGTCAAGATCTTGGCCAATCCTAGAGCGAGCCCAAACTCAGGGGCGGAGTTTCATGATCCCGGAACCGGTGGTAGTGTTTGGGTTTGAGGAGAACGCGACCTAGCCCTGTGGGGCGGAGTCTAGCGGGGTCAGCGACCAATCGCGCCGAGGCTCAGAGGGGCGGGGCCATCCCAGGGGCGGGGCCTTGCCAGTTCCGGGCCTCCCGGGGGCGTGGCCGGGCCTGGACAGCGGCCTGGGCCATGTCGGCGCCGCCTGCCCTGCAGATCCGGGAGGCGAACGCACACCTGGCGGCCGTGCACCGGCGCGCGGCGGAGCTGGAGGCGCGGCTGGACGCGGCGGAGCGCACGGTGCACGCCCAGGCCGAGCGCCTGGCTCTCCACGACCAGCAGCTGCGCGCTGCCCTAGACGAACTGGGTCGCGCCAAGGACCGGTGAGGCCCGGGGCCGGCCAGGTGAACTTCACCGAGGCGGTGGGCGGAGGCAGAGTCGAGGCTGGAAAGCAAGGAAGGGTAGGGGGAACCGTGTGCACTCGTATGGAAGCTAGACTGATTATGAGATTGATAAAAACACCAAAAAACTCTAATTAGTAATCAGTATGTAAAGTTGAGAGAAGTGACACAGGTGTGGGCCTCTAACTTCAAACAGGCCCACTTTCCCACAGGTGCTGAGCGACGCAGGTACCACAGACCGCCCAGCGTAGGCACTGGGAGCCATAGCAGGCTCTTCAGCTGGGGAAGAGGGGATCATATCAGCATTTTTTTTTTTTTTTTTTTTTTTGAGATGGAGTCTCACTCTGTCGCCCAGGCTGGAGTACAGTGGCACGATCTCAGCTCACTGCAACCTCCGCCTCTCAAGTTCAAGCAATTCTCCAGTCTCAGCATCCCGAGTAGCTGGGATTATAGGCACCTGCCACCACGCCTGGCTAATTTTTTTGTATTTTTAGTAGAGAGAGGGTTTCACCATACTGGTCAGGCTGGTCTCGAACTCCTGACCTGAGGTGATCTGCCCACCTCGGCCTCCCAAAGTGCTGGGATTACAGGCATGCGCCACAATGCCCAGCCCATATCAGCATTTTAACTTTTTAAATTTATTATGAGTTTTTTGAGACTGAGTTTCACTGTTGTTGCCTAGGCTGGAGTGCAGTGGCATGATCTCAGCTCACTGCGACCGCCACCTCCCGGGTTCAAGCGATTCTCCTGCCTCAGCCTCCCGTGTAGCTGGGATTAGAGGCGCCAGCCACCACGCCCGGTCAATTTTTTGTATTTTTAGTAGAGATTGTTTTTTGTCATGTTGGGCAGGCTGGTCTCTAACTCCTGACCTCAGGTGATCCTCCCGCCTCAGCCTGCTAAAGTGCTGGGATTACAGGTGTGAGCCACCACCTCCGGCCTAAATTTATTATTTTTGAGGCAGGGCCTCACTCCTATGCCCAGGCTGGAGTGCAGCCTCGATCTCCGGAGCTCAGGTGATTGTCCCATCTCAGTCTGACCACCACCAGTAGCTGGGACTACAGGCGTCCACCACCACGCATGGCTAATTTTTTTGTAGAAACAGTTTTGCCATGTTGCCCAGTTTGGTCTTGAACTCCTGGGCTCAAGCAATCCTCCTACCTCACCCTTCCAAAGTGCTGGGATTATAGGCATAAGCCACCACGCCTATCTGTCTTTTATTATTTTTGAGATGGGATCTTGCTCTGTTGCCCAGGCTGGAATGCAGTGGTGCAATCTCGACTCACTACAGTCTCACCCTCCCTCCTCAGCCTCTCAAGTAGCTGGGATCACAGGCGTGCGACACCACACCTGGCTGATTAAAAAAAAAAATCCTTTAGAAATGGGATCAGACTGTTGCCTAGGCTGGCCTGGAACTTCTGGGCTCAAGCGATCCTCCCACCTCAGCCTCCCGAAGTGCTGGGATTACAGGCATGCGCCACCATGCTGTCCCGTATCAGCATTTTTGAAGAGTCCCTCTGATAGCTGAGGATGAAAGAGATGAGACAGGCACCCAGGGAGCTAGGAGGAGCTGAGCTCCAGGTGGGAACTATTAATTCAGAGCTAATTGGACATATTCATTCATTTTTACCGAGCATCTGCTGTGTGCCGGGCACTCATCCATTCATCTTCATTGAACCCCTACTGTGTGTCAGGCACTATGCTGGGTACTGGAGCACATCAGTAAGACCTACTCAGCCTTGCCCATTGGGCGTCCACAGTCCAGTGGAGAGATAGACATGTCACTGGGCAGTTACATCATCGGTGGTCAACGGCTGTGATGGAGGGGCGTATGGGGCTCTGAGGGGTCTCAGAGGGAAGGCTTCCTGGAGGAAGAGCCTACTAAGAATAGATGGGGAGGCCGGGCGCAGTGGCTCAAGCCTGTAATCCCATCACTTTGGGAGGCTGAGGCAGGCAGATTACCTGAGCTGAGGAGTTTGAGACCAGCCTGGCCAACATGGCAAAACCCCGTCTCTACTAAAAATATAAAAAAGTAGCTGGGTGTGGTGGCGGGCACCTGTAGTCCCAAGCTACTCGGGAGGTTGAGGGACAAGAATTGCTTGAACCCAGGAGGCAGAGGTTGAGGTGAGCAGAAGTTGCACCACTGCGCTCCAGCCTGGGCGACAGAGAGAGACTCTGTCTCAAACAAACAAACAAACAAACAAACAAACA